ATATGCTGTCTGTAAATATTTATTAGTATATTTCTGTTAACTGTTTCATATGAGGGTCCCCTTTCTGTAGACTGCTTAAAGATCTTTTATATATTCAGTGGTAAGGAAGTGCTCTAAAGGAAATGAATAAATAAATAAATAAAATGTGCTGCTTATTTTTTCCCTCTTAGCCTTCCTGGTTATTAGTGGAGAGAAAGGAGAGAGACGTGAAAAGTAGTTGATGATATTCATTAGCCGCAGCAGACAGTTCCTGTGATTAGATACTCATTTGGGTAGTGAGTGAATAAGAGAGAGAGTGTGCCCTCATCCAGGTGGTGGCCTGGTCCTCATTTCTCCCGCTCCACTTTCTGCTTCTCAGCCATGTTTGTTGTTTTTCTGTTTCGCATTAATCAGGACTGTTATGGCGAGCACAGGTAGTGTTATCCCAAAGGGAAACTTTTCCTCCTTCTTCTTTATCCACAATTGAAAGAGTTCCCATGTTCCCAGGGTGGGTTCAGGCACTGCTAGCATAAGCCTAAAGCAAGGGAGATTGACATGTTGTTGGACTACAAGTTGCATCATCCCTGACCATTGGCTGTCCTGGCTGGGGCTGATGGGATTTGGAGTCAACAGCCTCTGGAGGACAGTGCATTGACAACCCCTGCCTTAAAGGTTCTGAGAAGGCAATGGATAGTGTTCTGTTCTTCTGTCGTTTGTTCTGAACCCATTTGTCTGGAGGTTTCTAGTACCTAAGTTCACAGCATTTTGTGCTCCTGATACATAAATACTGCTGCTGCAGTTGCACTGGCACAACCGTGATGCAGTGCTAGCATAGACCCATGATGCTTCAGCAGTGAATTGACCTTAGAGTTCTGTCTTCAGCTGTCTTTAGCTGCTCCTGCTGTGCTGATAAACTTCAGAACGTGAAGGCACAACTTGTGACATTTAAGAAGTCTGAAAGGGGCCAATGAAAGGAAATGGTTTCCAGGGCTGAGGGGGCGGAAGAGGAGGCAAGGCTCCAAGGCCATTAGAGCTTCTTCTAAGAACACCAGAAGAGCTTTGTGGATCAGAACAATGGTTCATCTCGTCTAGTATCCTGTTCTCACAGTGGCTGACCTGCGGGAGACCAGCGAGCAGGATTCGATCACACTCTCCCCTCCCGTGCTTTCCAACAACTGTCATTCAGAAGCTTTGCTGCTTCCAGTTGTGGAGGCAGAGAATAGCCCACCATGGCTAGCCACCATCAATAGTCCTCTCCTCTGTGAAGTTGTCCAATATTGTTCTTCCTCACAATGAGCAGAAGCATTATAATAATTTATAATTATACCCCGCCCATCTGGCTGAGTTTTTTTAATAAAAAAAACCTCATGTACTTATTCTGAGTAATTTAAAGAAGAGAGCAGTCTCTTAATGGTTGCAGGATTTGATCTAATTTTGTGCCAGATACTAAGTTATTGGTAAGTTCTCCATATAATTTCAGGGCTGTAGTTATAGCTTCATGACTGAAAGACATGGAAATGTATGCTATCCTAGACAGTAGGAACTCTGTATTTTCCGTCTATAAGACGCCCCCTATTTTGGGGGACTCAGATTTAAGAAAATGGGGGGAGATGTATCTATATAAGACGCCCCCTAATTTTTTACATTATTTAAAAGGGAAAAAACCTAGTCTTATACACGGAAAAATACAGTAATATACAGGGGCTAATGTCACAATATGACTAAAATGATTCCAGTAGAACCTATGCACCAGGGCACATAGGAATGTAGGAAGCTGTGTTATACTGACTCGGCCATTGGTCCATCTAGCTCAGTATTGTCTGTATTCAGTGAGTGACTCCATGTTTTCAGATAGGAGCTTTTTCTCCAGCTCTGCTTGCAGATGTCAAGAGATGCTCTACCACTGAACTATGGCCCTTCTCCTGGCACCCAACCCCCTCCCAATTGTTCACTTTTATTTAATGGTATCTGGCTGATAAGACTTGCTTTTTGCAGTATGAATGTGCTATGCATAATGTAATGAATCACAAGCTTTTAAATATAGTTATATAGTTGAGATACTCTAAACAGCAGTTTCTGTGTGTGTGTTTTGAGGAGAGTTGCCAGCACTTAGCCTGTGGTCCACAGAATTATTAAATGCAGTCTATAAAGAAGGCAATTCCGCTGTCTCTGTTTTAAAAAAAGCTTTATTGCTCTAGATAAGTGACTATATTTGTTAATTTAACAAGCTCGGCTGTTTACTTGTGAAGAAAGCTGACCGGCCATGTTGCATGATAAACATTTTCCTCTGTATTTTTATTATTACACAGAATGTAGACATTTCAAGACCTCCTGAGGAAGCCCTTGTAACTGTCCCTGCTCACCAGTGAAGCCCGTGTCCTGATCAGCTATGAAACGTGTGGTGCTTCTTTTCATCATATTATATTAAAATTATTTCAATCGTTCCAATCACTTTGGAATCATCCACAGATAATATCAGTTTTTGTGTAGCTCGTGGCTTTTAGAAATCAGACAATCAAATCTTATTGTCCCCTACCTCCTGGATTTGAACTGATTGGCTGAGCCACCTGATTACTGGCTTCTCTGATATAACACTTGATCAATTGGTGATTGCTAATTTTAAACCTGATGTTTTATGTCCATTAAGGCTTGATCAAACACTCAAACCCTGTTGGGAGATAATATGGGGCAGTTGTCTATTATTGAATATTTTTATTTTCTCTTGAGTGATTGGATTGTTTTACATAGAGGAGCATAATTAATAGTCTTTCTACAGTTAGTTTCGGCAGCTAGTGAATAGTATCGGCAATGTAGATAGTCTGCTAATTCATAGAACCATAGAATTCTATGACTATTTAATAGTAGCTTATGGGAAATAGTGTTCTTGCCCCTGACTTTGTGGAAGATGTATTTCTGTGATTTCAAAAAAAGGTCTGCAAAATTTATTATGGGATTAATTGATTATTTAAAGTTTAATTTGTACTTCTAATTACTTTTGACAGCTAATTTTTAAAAGCTAATTTAAAAATATTGTTAGTTTTTTTTAAAAAAAAACTGCAGGTGGTGTTAAGACTCTTTTAAACACCCATTTAAAAGAGGCCTTTTCTCTTTTTGTTCACATGAGAAGGAATGCCTCTTCTAAGAAGTTGCCTGCTATAAATAAACTAAACATTTTATAAGAAAAAAAGAAATACGCTTCTTGCTTCAGGACTCTCTTATTCTGTTCAGATGCAATTTCTGGAAATGGCATGAATTTTAGTTAATAGATTCAATCAGTCAACTAAGGTATTTTTAATTGGGTGGAAGCCCTAATTTATAATTTATATGACGAGGACTCGTAGTCTTAATGTCTTAATTTGTTTTCTTTATAAAGTAGAATCATAGAAATATATTTCTTCTACGGTTTGGCAAATGGAGGCAAACTGCTATTGCTTACTCCCATGAAGTTACTAGACATTACTAATGCCAGGGTAAACATGCATTTGGAACACTTCTGGATAGAACCACTGTCAATATGGAGTAAAGAAATGGCACTTGTGGAAAGGAATAATACACAACTACTCCTTTCCCTGTTGCTTCTCCATTCTAGGCTGTAGATGGTGCAAAGTTGGGCTGCTGAGGGGTGTGGCCTGGGGAGAGAGGGTATGTTGCTGAGGAGGAAGAGGAGGAGCCTGAGGAGGAAGAGGAGCCTGAGGAGAGTCCTGAGACCCAGACAGAGAAGTTCCCAGGCCTGAAGTTCCCAACCCCTGACATAAATTTACCTCCTCCGAGATTCAAAAGCAGTTGGGGGGGGGAGTGTTCTGAGAAGAAAACATTCTAGTGCAGTGTTCCCCAACCTTGGGCCTCCAGCTGTTTTTGGACTACAATTCCCATCATCCTTGACCACTGGTCTTGCTAGCGAGGGATGATGGGAGTTGTAGTCCAAAAACAGCTGGAGGCCCAAGGTTGGGGAACACTGTTCTAGTGCACACAATGGTAAACTGCAATACTTAAAAAATAAATAAATAATTTCATACTTCCTGCCAGCCAAATAATTCCCAGGGTGATTCACAAAACCAAACTAATGCAGTGTAGCTGCTGCTAACTTACATAATCTAAATTCTAAGCATCTTGTAAACAAGTTTGGTAGATTAGAAAAAGGTTGTCACTTGAATTCTGCATTGCCACATATAAACAAAACTACAGTGGTACCTCAGGTTACATACGCTTCAGGTTACAGACTCCGCTAACCCAGAAATAGTACCTCGGGTTAAGAACTTTGCTTCAGGATGAGAACAGAAATCGTGCTCCGGCGGCACGGCAGCAGCGGGAGGCCCCATTAGCTTAAGTGGTGCTTCAGGTTAAGAACAGTTTCAAGTTAAGAACGGACCTCTGAAATTAATTAAGTACTTAACCCGAGGTACCACTGTATTCTAGGGGCCAGAGATGTTCCCAGGAAGAGCCTCTCTCCCAGCAGAGGCACTGGCTTTGTTCAACCGATTTTCACTAGACTAACTTCATGTTGGGGGTTGGGGCTGAAGAATCAGCTTCGGTGGTGCTGATGGTTACATTGCTTAGATCAGGAGTGGCCCAACCCATCAGCTAAGAGGTTTGATGGCTTCTTATTTGAAACGTTTTTGGCAATTTCTCTCCTCTTCCCGCTTCAACAGAACAAAGAAAACCAATGGCATCAGCATCACAGTGAATAAATAAAATGAATTTGTGGGAATTTTGAGTGGGGGAAGTGGGACTTTGAGGGAAAACAATCAGCTAAAAGTATATAAAAGAAAATACAAATAGAATGAATTGGGGAAGGAAAGAAATGGGTTGACTTTAGATGGAAAGATAATAAAAGGGATTCATTTCCTTCTTTGGCCTTAGCCCACTTTACTATGCTTCTCACAGCGTTGGGCATGGGTCAATGCAGCCCTTGGCCAGAAAAGGTTAGCCACCCCTGGCTTAAATCCAGGAGTGTTAGTTTTGTAAGATCGATATCACAATTATGGTGATATCTCGTGGCAAAGTAAGGGAAAGGAGCACATATCCTTGTGAATCTCTAGGAGGTCTTGCATTTGAGAACTGAAAGAAAACTGTAATGCAAAGATCTTAGATACTGGATTTTTTTGTTCTTCAGGACTGGTTAAGATTTCTGTATCTTTGTATATCTTGGATTCCTTTAAGATGTTTAACTGATGGCAATCTCAAAGGCCAGATGCAAGACCTGTAACACCCTACAGTGCTTTGATTAGGGATCTCATGTCCTTCCTGGGTAATAGTCAAGGTCAGGCATAGGCAAACTCGGCCCTCCAGATGTTTTGGGACTGCAATTCCTATCATCCCTGACCACTGGTCCTGTTAGCCTGTTAGGGATGATGGGAGTTGTAGTCCCAAAACATCTGGAGGGCCGAGTTTGCCTATGCCTGGTCAAGGTAATAAACGGAGGAGAGGATCTGGTAGATGAGGCCATGTGGTATTAAACCCTAGCAGCTTAAATCAAGAGCCCTTTTGATAAGAATGCATGTTCTCATCTCACGTTTTGTGTTTGAAGAGTACAAATACTACTAATGTCTTCATTCTAAGAGATTGGGTTCATTCTTGTTAACTGAAACCTATTTATTTCACTTAAGGGTAGAATAACAGCTCATTATTTTTTTTGAAGTCTCTGAGAAGGAGAATAACAACTGTTATACCGCCAGCGGCTAGCAGGCCTTGCTGAAAACTGATACCTGTACAGGTGTCTTATGAATGTCTTCTTCCTACTTCTTTGATCTCTGTTCTGCACCAGGTAGTCAGTTTGTAGAACTTGATGTGTAGATGAATGGAAAACATATTAGCAGCAATTTTCTTAAAAGTTGCCATGAACCATGCAAACCTACACTGGAGCAGGTATAATCATTAGGGTGCCTTGGGTATGTGCCCTACACATTTGTGTTTCGTACTTCCATTGAAGAGTAGGATGACTCATTTCATCCTGCAAAGAGTTCACTGCTCCCAAATCTGTTACCTGGAAATCTCGCTTTTGGGGAGATGTACCACTTCTGATGGTGGAGAAAAGTTGGTTCAGGCTTTTAGAATAAAATGACGGTGTGCTTGATGGTAGGTAAAGATCATTGGAGCACTCATTAGAGCTCCTTGGGTACACATCTGTCTGGCTCATTGGCGGGACAAAATGTTCATATTGTGCGGGAGAGTTGAGTATCGGATGCAGTTGGACAGGACAAGCTTTGAAAACTCCAATAGGAGTTTGAAAATGTGTAAGGAATGTTGGAAGCTGCTGCATATTAGATCAGGCTCTTGGTCCATGTAAGCCCAGTATTGCAGTAGCTCTCTAGGGTCACAGGCAGAGGTGTTTTGCATTGCCCACTAGCTGAGATCTCAGGGATTGAACTTGGGATCTTCTGCATACAATGCATGGGATCTACCTTGTCCAATAGCCCTGATCTGAACACAACTAGAAAATGATTTGTGCATTTCATTGCACTCTGTAGTGGTAACACAAAGCCTATGTATAAATGGCTTTTTTTGGCCTGAGCAAAAACTATGTAGGGCAGTTTAACTTGACCTCAAGGATCAGGTAGTAACTTGCATCCAATGGCTGCTGCTAGAATGACTGTGGTCTAGGATAGACTGAGCTTCTAGGATAGAGATTTGCAATTGGCAGCCTTTGAGTCCCTGAGGGGTAATTTTTGGTTGTTCAGACATTCTACTTGTGTGTAAAAACAACTTGCAAGTGGGGAGAAGTGCACTAAGCTTCACCCACTGTTTTCCTCAACACTTGAGTCACCAAGATGTTGCTGGGCTACAGCTCCCATCATCCCTGACCACTGGTCCTACTAGCTAAAGATGATCGGAGTTGTAGTCCAACATCTGGAAACCTAAGGTTGAGAAAGACTGATCTAACATGTACAACCTCTTGTATCTGTGGAGGCTTCCTTAAGCAATTTCAAACCTTTATCTTCCTGGGTCCTTAATCACACTGGAAGCCTCCATGACTGTAGGAGGTGGTCTGGTTCAGATGTTTAACATCCCAGCTTAAGGAGGGTGATGGAGCCGGAGCTTAGCAATTTGTCTCTGCTTGCTTGTTGTTTTCACATGTCACTGGAATGCCTGAAGACTAGTATGTTGAGTGTTCAATGTGTCATGACATATCTGTGATGAGAGGTGGTAGTATCACATAGCTTGTTGCCTAATACAGTTATTGGTTTAAAGGGACGGAAAAGTATTGTGTATAGGCATTGTAGCTGGGTTCAGACTTGTGACTCTCAAGGATCTCTCCCTCCTGGACTTGTGCATGTGTCATTGCATTGACTGTGATAATGAAAACACTTCATTTGGGTTGTCCAATCAGCTAGCAGCATGTGCTTATGTTGGTAGTTCCCAGTGAACACTGGAAAAAACCAGACTTCTACCTAGGGCTACATAAGGGGCCCAAGAGGCATAACACCAAGCATTCAAAGTGCAACTGAACTCATATTGGGATCTCTTTGAGTTTCTGATAAGCTGGTGTTCAGAACAATGGAACTGAAGACTGATGCATATTGAGAAATGTATTCCGGAATGATGGAACTTGTTACAACGCATGAATATATAGAGGAACCAGATAAGACAAAATATTGTGATTTTATCCAGCCCAACTCTATGCATATTTTCTGGGAAGCGAGGCTTCACTGATGTCGGTGGGTCTTATGCTAAAGTCAATGTGCATAGGATTACAGCCTTAATTTCACCATATTTCCATGAACTAGCAAAGGAAAGCCCATAGGTAGTGAGAAGTGTTCAGGAATTGGCCAAAGGGCAAGCATTGTGTTCGAGTGAAGTATATAAAGCTTGCTGTCTTGTTCTCTTTTCAGAATGTATGCGTTAGCCGCTCTCGAGAAGAAGCTTTGAGGACTGTACCTAATCATTTGTAGCAGCCTTTGACCTCCCCTTGCCAGCACCGTCCCAAACTGCTGAAGCAGTGCTAAGGAAACCACTCAGGGAGCTGAGAATGAAGGCAGCCTTCAAGGAAGCCAAGCAACACAGAAATGCATGCACTCCTCCTCTTCTCGAAGACGGTGTTTCAACTGCCTTGGTCTGGCACAAGGCAAAGTTGGCATTAAAAGTTGAAATGGACCAAGTATTTGTGGAACAGAGAATGAAACTGCTTTTAAATTAATATATGTTGTCTTTATCCTGTTGTTCTTCGACTGTGGGTGTTAAAAGTATGAAATGCTGGTGTCTCTCTTAATGCTGTATCTTAGCTTTCTTCTGCAATACTTTCCTAAGCCTTTCTTGCTGTGATTTCCTGTTTTATTCCTATATTATATATAAAATCTTTACCGGACATAGAACAGGTGTTTCTTCAACTGAGGATTCTTCCAACTATTTATTTTAGTATACTACAAAAGGTACCACCAGTCTCCTTGTGAGATATATTAATCCAGTTAATATATCAATTTTAGCAACAAGCAGTGTTGTCCAAGTCATTGCTTTGCAGTTAAACGTTTGATTTTCTTTTTTTTTTTTTGGTAGCTGCACTAATTTCTAGGTAATTTTACTAAAGGCTCCACTTGATGCTTCACATCATTTAATGGAAAGCCAGAATAGGTAATATTTTCCCAGATGCATTCCATCTATCTTGTTGAAATGTTCCAGAACTCCTGGGTTATTATTATTATTTGAATAGTGTGTGAATAGTTTCCTTTCCACATCATGCATACGGCAAACCTATTTTGTCTGTTTATTGAAAACCGCATATTTTACTTAACTGTTTTTACCTGGTCCCTCCCTTTTTTACACCCCCTCAAACTCCAAACCCCAAGCAGAGAAGCCTATGAAAAGGGAGGGTTTTTAATTGACACTCATGTAAATATTGCTCCAAATGGAGCAGATAGTAATACAATAAAACAATGTGCATGGTGGTTACCAGAGGTGAATGGCAATAACAGTGCAGGGAAGGTGTAAGACAAATTACTAGAGAGACCAAATTATTATGAAGCGCTCCTGAGTTATTGGCATTAATGCAAGCTTGTTCTTACCCATCTTCTTGAACCAAAGTCACAGATGAAGTATTAGCTGTTTTGGGTTTTTATTTTTCTTATGTATTGGTGATATTTAAGTTAAAATGCATTGGATGGGAAAGATGAAAGCGATCCTTTATTGCATATCTTCTACTTTATTGATGAGAACAGGATTTGCACATTCATAAATGGAAACAATCTTCCGTCCCCCCCCAAAAAAAACGAGGACCCAGGATTCTTTCTTTCCGTGAACCTTAAGCAGCCACATCTTTGCCTCAGTGCATTCCTTGAGTGGAGCTCAAGAGCATAGTGAAGAACGGGGCCCTCTAGGATTTTCAAGTATTTATATGCAAAGAGGGATACTATGCTGTAAGTGAACTTGTGAAATTGGATCAGTCCTGCTTTAGGGTCACAACCCAACAGGGATATGCTCCAGATATATCCTGTTGCAATGAATGGGAGGCGTGTGAAAGAAATTCCTGTTAGTGATAAAACTTCATGCATGTTAGGCCAGTTGTGTTTGTTGTACTAAGCCAACGTATAGTGTAAATAATCTGTCCATGTGATACAAATCAGCAAGCAGCAGATTAGGTGCCTGTTTGTTCTTGAACCGAAGAAAGCTTTGTCCCGTGCGATTTGAATGCTTTTTTGCCTTGCTGTCTGTGCTGGTACCTCATCGAACCTTGCCATGCTGTTAATGTTGAGTTCTCTGCAATGGACTATGTAAGCTTTGCCTAGTGGGGACTCGTTTATGTGGCTGGGTGCTATAATGTAACATACTGCCGTGTTCTTCATTTCTTTAATAAGGTAGCTTAGCAATATATTCAGCGTTCTGGAGATAAGCCATAAAGCCAACCTTATTTCAGAAACATAAAAAGGACTATGTTAAACTATCAAACACTTCAAAAGCGCTTTAGCTGTACTCCATCCTTTAAGATAATATGCCTTGACATCATAATGTATTTATTCAGGTAGTTCACTACTTACTGGAGTAGATGAAAAGGGAGCGTTCTGCTGTTGGCGCACAGTACAGTGTCAGCTGGAGAAGGGGATTTTGGGTAATGGCTTAAATCACAGATGAATTGTGTCAACAGCCTAGCCCTAACTTCTCTAGATGTGAGCCACAAGTAATTATTCTTATTATTGACTACTTAGTGGGCTTGAGTGAAAAGTTGAGGATTCATGAGCAGAAAATTGTGCAGGTATAACTTTGGATTTTAAGTGGTAAATGTGGTTCTTATAAGAAAATACTCTCCTTTGAGTTAGCTAAGCCTGCAAGCTAGCCTTCATTGGCAGGTTTAGCATTTTCTTCTAACCTTTTCTTAACCAGAAGTATTTGCTTTCTCTCTCTCTCTCTCCCCCCCCCTTCATATTTCTCAATGTGCTGTAAAACTGTGGCTAAATATTTTATGTATAGTAGATATTTTTATAGGCTACATCTAAATATACTGTGATAACAGTAGTTTCTATTTACAAGATTGTATAACTGAAAAAATTGTTGTGTGCAAGAATAAATTATAAATGTATGTTGATACTTGAAAATGAGAATACTAGGAAGCTCTGGATTCTAATTTAACTTAAGATGTGATGCCAATTCCACAATTTGGAAATGAGCCCCTTTGAAATGAGTTTGCTTTCTTCAAAGTAAATGAGTTTAAAAATGATATGTTAGATGGTTGGTGTGCCACCAGCTTCATCTGGGTTTCTAGTGATCAACTAATCCAGAAGACCTTTTGTATTTGTTAATCCACAGGACTGCTTCATTCTCTACTTTTGAAAGTGTGAATGAAGAGCGTTTCTAAAAATATGGATCTGACAGGTACATTTATCAGAGAGTGGCCATTACTAGCCATTTCCTTTTAAGTGTACACTTGAATGAAAGCCGGTGGCTTTGCTTATGTGAAATGCCTCTCAGTAGGTACTAGAAATGGAAAAGGTTATGAAAATTATTTCCTTTTGTCATAACATGTATCATAGACCCAAATGATTTTGAATGAGACTAATTAGGATGTGACTGTTAACTCACCTAGTTCTAAGGATATATTTGGCCTTCAATTTAATCTTACATGAGATTTATTCCAAGCTAATAAACATTGTTTTAAATTGTGAGGGATGCTAATTGACTTTTCTCTCTCCTGGATTATTATTTTTTTGACACTTCAGGTATGTGCAAACATGTCCAGCTCAAGTGCAATGATGTTCAAACTGAAATCTGTCAAATTGGGTCAAGCATATATTTCAAATGCTATTGATGAATATTGAGTCATTTCCAGGTTTCTATATTCTACAACAACAGGCCAGGAACTGTGAGGTTTTCTGGAGTTAGTGCTAGATGAGCTGTCACTAGATGAACTGTCAATGTTTGGTTTTAAGCAGCAGTGCTGTATTTACATATGTTTTTTAAAGTGTTGCTGGCACTTTGAGACTAGCAGAAACAGGGGACTGCTTCTTTTAAACACCTACTCCTCCTTCAACCATAATTTATTTAACCCCTGCCATTACTCTTAAAACGACTCTTCTTTTAGGCTGCCATTGCCAGTGTTTAAATAGCACTGTCGTTGTTCCAGGTTGCTTCCTGAAAATGCTGGATTAATTTAGATCAAAGAGAATCAGAACCTTATCTTTCTACAATTTTCAGCTATCTTTCTACATTTTTTACATCAAAGAGTGCTATTTATTTAATGTAGTGATGCAAGTGTAGCACTGTATCCTGACATGTCCATTTTATAGGGCATAGAGCCCACATGGTTTGTAGCCGCTGGGAGAAAAGGAAAGCATTAGGACAATCACTAACTCTGTTGTCTTCATGACTGCTGTATGATAATTCTATGAACACGCATCCCTCTCTTTTCTTAATTCATTGTACCAGTCTTTGGCCAGAATACATTGTCTTAATGTATGCCTTTTAAAAAATGCCTGTGACTAGGGTAGAGCCCGCTAATAATTAGAGCCGACAGCAGCAGTACAGTCCCCTCTATGTAGCAAATCTTCTATAACTCTCATCACTTTTCCAGCTGCCATCACTCTTTCCTCGGCCATCGCTTCTTTTCCATCTTTTCCGTCTTCCTCTGTGTTTGCATCATTCCTTTTAAACTGAATTGTTGAGAGATTTCACTCCCTAGAGAATAACTACTTAACAGATTTTAACCAGCTGGTTCCACAAAGTCATGGTTCATAAGATGCTGAGATGATAGATTCCTTTCATTTTTGTTTAGGATGGAGATAATTGCGGTTAGGGAGTAATCTGTTAATTGTGCCTCACAAGTTGGAGGCTTTAAATGCTTAAAGCAGACTGAACTCCACCCTGCTCAGTATTTAAACCTCTCCTATTTTATCTTAGTCTGAGTCTTTGTTGTTGACAAAATCTAAAAACATGGAAAATGGTGTGATGGATCCTTTTTTCACCCTATTCCAAACTTATTTTTGAAGGGCTGTTTTGTTCTTAACAAAACAACAGATAGAAAATGACCCTTCCTGCTAGTCAGTAATTTTCCTCCTACGACCAATGGGATGATCCTGGGATCAATTCTGCCCTGCTCTCTATCTTGTGTAGTCCGCATTAACCACAGACTTGTGGCTAGGAAGGATCTGTCTAGAAGTGTTCTATTTTCCCTGAAAGTTACCAGGCATCTAACACTACAAATTCTTGAATGTTTGTTTGTGTGCCTGATGTTGATGATGTGTAATGGGTGAGGACACTGAGTTGGCAAGTACAAGCCATGCTTTGGTAACATGGCACAAATTCATTTTAAGAATTCTAACTAATATAATTTAATGTAATTAAGGTATGTCAGTAGCTGAATTAACACTATGTGCCCAAGACCCAGCAAAGGGTTGGCCCTCATGTTCCCACTTCCCATTCTCCTGTGTGGCTAGATTTCAGTTTTAAATAATGTTGATGTGTTAAACAAACCAATTCCAAACCATGGGTTATGAAGTTGTCTTGTTTAACTAGGTAGTTTTGTAGACATCACCAGCTGCTGCCTTGTAATTCATAGTATTGTTGTATTTCTTTTCTCAGCTGATCAAGGAATTTTTACTTTCCTTTACCATCCTATGATGTTTGGAAATAAGCTGACAAAGTAGTGCAGGAATAGGGAAAGTTAGGCCTGGGTGGGAGGCAAAACTATCCCTGGACTTTCTAGTCCAAACCTCCTACTGGCCCTTCTTTCACATGCTGTGTTTTTGTCTGATTAGACCGTGTTATTGTAGCCTAATGCCTCTTGCTTGCCTGCATGAAGAATAGAAAGTGTGTGTGTGTCTGTGTGTAGAAAGTAGCCTGATTTACAAAAGTTAAATTGAGTTGCCTCTCTGCCCCTTCTAAACACTCGCATGCACCCCCAATAAGTGTGGCCATTGAGCTGAAAAGGATTCGTGATTCCTGATGGCAGTATAAATAAAGAAATAGTTTAAATGTTACAGAAGGCAGTTGGCAATTTTCTGTAATGCTTCTGTAATGTTAGTCAGTGCTAATCAGATGGAGGGAAATCAATTATGGAATAAATAATGAAGCTAACATTCCATAGGAAATACCTTAGTTTTACTTTTACTTGTAGCTCTAGGAAGTGGCCTAATATGTCCAGAGGTACATTCTGAATTTATGGAGGATTTAGAAATTGCTGTTACGAAGGAAGTTGCCTTAGGAGAATTCAGTTTATATCAGGCCAGTGTTGAGCCCAGTGTCATTTTTAAACTTCCTAATTTCATGAAATATCTGGATAATACACCCAGAGTCCTAGCTGGCAAATCTTGTGTAGACTCCCATGACAGACCTATATTTAATTTAGTATTACCTCAGTGTTAAAAAAGTAGTTTACAAATGCATAGTGGTATTTGTAGCTGTGGAAACTTGTGCTTTTGCCTATAAAAACAAACTCCTAGGAAGTATTGTACTGCCTGACTCTTTAGCCAAAGTGTCTGCTGTTGATGCCTAGAGAATAAATATTTTTAGTAACCTATGAAACCTGGCACATGGGAAAGATACGTCTTGCAGCAAGCTGGACTTAACAAATCATGTGACTTTCAACAAGAGTAAGGCTAGATTTGTAGCTATCAAAACAAAGAGTTTCCACAGTAGGGATATTTCAAGTTGCAAGTGGTGTGCTTCTGTCTTGAAGCATAACCCAAGTTTCAAGAAGCAAAAATATTAAAGTGAAAGTTTCTGTGTATCTTAAAAAGAATCATGAATGTTTAAAAATGCTGTCATGTGTTCCTGAGAGAGCATCCCAGGGGACCATAGCCATTCTAATGGATACCAGAGCTCTAATGTTGGTGCCTCCGAAGCCTAGGGCTGAACCAATGGCAGAACACTGTTGGCATTAGAGATAGAAAGGGAGTGTTGCTCTGGCATCAACACCCTGGGAATTAATTCCAAGGGACATCCATTTTAGGCCTCAGGGGAAGCCATTGCAGGGAAGGCAATATTTATGGTAGTGGAGTGGGGGAAGTAGGAATACTTGGTAGCTAGGGCCCCTGCAGGCTAGCAAGAATATCCTCAAAGTCAGTGGTGGCTTGTGCTTAAAAGAGCCTGCTTTGTGGGTTAGTGTCCAGGTCATTCGCTTTCAGAGGGTAAAATAGGAAGGGCAGCGTTTCAGATAATAGATGTATTTTTATTTAGCCTTCTAAGTTTTTCAACAATCCATAATCAATACATCGGTTGGACAGCATTCCTTCCCTGTTACCCCACATCCCACCCACCCCACAGTTTCAACATGCTGTACATGTTGTAGGGTGTTTCTGCCTAGCCTAAAAATCTGTTATCTGGATCAAGATACAAGGTAGCAATGATTAGTTATCACATACTGTGTATTTAAATACTCCTACAGGAACTAGCCTTCATCTTCTCAAGCGTGCTGAGACTTGACTAGACCTATATTGGCTGGCAACGAGACCAAAGTTAGACCCAAACCACACAGGTCTTTAACGGCAGGTTCTTTGAAATGAGACCTGCCCACCATCCTTCATTAAAGGTGTGTTGCCCGGTCTCATGCATGTCCAACTGCATTCTACCTCACTGTGTGCCCAATACAGATTGATATCTGGAAAAATAAATGACAAGATGGCACCTCCTCCCCCACTTACACAACTAAGTTGAGAGTTCTATTTGTCTTCCAACACTGAGGACAGGACAGCATCCTCAAAGGGGGCGGGGGACTAAATGGCACACATACACACAGCTTTGTTCTCTAGCACAGTGTTTCCCAACCGGTGTTCCGCGGCACACTACTGTGCCGTGAGACATTGGCTGGTGTGCCGTGGGAGGGAGGCGGGCGAGTCGGGCGGTGAGAGGCGGCGGCGGCGAGGATCCGCGTCGAGCCGGGGGCGGCTCCGCGGTGGTGGTGCCGAGTGGCGGGGCAGCGCACGCAAAAGGGAGGAGCGCGAGACAGCGGAGGAGGAGGAGGCCGGCATGTCCGGGCAGCAGCAGCAACAACAGCAGCAGCAACTCCCGGCGACGGCTCCTCAAGCCCCGCCGCCGCCCCCTCCTCCGCCCGCTATCGCCGCCACCACCACCACAGCCGCCGCCGCCTCAGTTGCCGCCGTCCCTCAGTCCCTCGCTCTGCTGCCTCCTCCCACCCCCAAAGCTTGGAGGTTCCCCGGCAAGGGGGAGGGAAAAAACTTTCACTTTCGTGCGTCCCTCCCGGCGTGACGCTGCGCGCTGACGTCACGGGGCGGGGCTTTAATGGTGGTGTGCCGCGAGATTTTTTTTCAGTAAACAGGTGTGCCGTTGCCCAAAAAAGTTTGGGAAACACTGCTCTAGCACCTCACTTCCTCACTCACTGGGTTGCAGATAGGGGGCCTGTGGTAGCTGTAGTCTAATGAAAGGCCCACATGTTTTTTAAATTAAAAAATGACTACTTTTAGATGTCTTTTAGATGGGGCTTCATCCATGAACAGCAAAGCAAGAACAAGGCTGTAAACTTGCTGGATTGAGGGCCTGAGAAGCACCATAATCAATTGATGCCACTTTTTTAAAATTAAAAATAGCAATATTTGAAGCTCAGAATCAACTCAAATTATTTAGTTTGATGGACGTTAAAAACTGCCTAGCCATTTCACTTTATTTGAAGGGTAGTACCCTTCGATAACCTCTTTCACCTCTTGAGCAAAAT